GAATACCTACCCTCCATTGGAGTAACTTTAGATTCTAATGCCATATGTTATCGTGGTATTTTTTTGAGAATTCAATAAAATTCTCATAAATATAAAATTATTGGTTTTAGTATAATTTAATTATGTTATAAATTTTTATATTAATTAAAAACCAAATTAAACCAATAAAATAGAGACATATAGTATAATGTTAGTCTTTCATGTATTTTTTTTTTTTGGTCAACTATTTCATGTATCTTTCATTTGAGAGATTTTTGGCATGAGTCTCTCAATTTCTTACCACTTTTTCATGTTTTTATTGTTATCATATTGTGAATATCTACCTCATTGAAAACAATGCTCTTTGATTCTAATAATTAACTAGCTGACTTCCTGCGTTGCACGCGGTTAAGTATTTCTAAGAAATCAAATAAATTTAAAAGTACTGCTAATGATTTAAGTTTAATTTTTTTTATATGAAATAATATCTTTTTTCTTTTCCGTTTGTTGGCACTAATTTTATTTTTATTAATAACATTGACAATAACATTATGTACAATTCAGTTAACAAAAAATAATTGAATTGGTCATTGTATCTAATTTTATATCATAATAACCAAGTAAGATTATGTCGTTTCTAAAAAAAATTTCATTTCTAATGATATTGTAGTGTCGTTTTGTCATTAACACACTGCACCAAAGCACTACTACTGTGTGTAAATTCTTTTGAAGCTTGAAAATTTGACAAAACAAAACACGAGATATTGTGATCAATGGTGTTCAATATCCATTTGATTAAACTTGTGTGAATTATTCTATTTCTGAATAACAATATCTAAATGAAAATATCTATTATTGATAATATTGTTTTCTATTAAATTCAGTAACGAATTTGGATATTTAAAGTAGATGTTTTTTAAAGTTTATTTAAATTGTAAAAATATTCATTATTATTTTCTTATAACTTTATATATAAAAGATGGAGTTTAATATAGAATTAGAAATGATCTAGAGCAATAGCTTAAAGAGTACTTATTTGTTAAATAAATATGTACAAATCATATTTATTTGAATTGCATCATAAATATAAATTATGTTAAATTTGGTTTGTCCGAATATCTTTAGTTAAATTTGGAATATAAATAAATTATTTAATATCTGAATATCCTTTGAACATTGTTTTCTTAGAAATTGTGTGGGTTGTTGATCCCTCAAATGATATCCACTATATATTAAAAAGAAGCCAAAACTAAAAAAAAAATATAAAGAAAGGCGTTTGATCACACGAAATTTTTTTTTTTTACCTTTGATGGAAATTTCCCTGTATTAGTAAGATTAGTTTCATTGTGAATATCATACTCATCTCTCAAAGCCATTTTAAAGAAAATTAGTTTGATCGGCCGATTGAATTAATATCAATTTTTTTGTTGGCCTTGATATATCAATATATAGTGAAAATGATTGATTAGGTTTAATTGTGATTGTGAAATTGGATGAATTGTGGCGGATTTTATTATTAATTTTGAGATAATTTTAATTAAGGATTAATGGGATATATTATAGAGAATATTATGTCATATTTTTTATAATGTCATCTCACATTAAAATTTGGAGAATAATTTTAGTGAAAACACATAACGTTTTAAAAAAAAATCACCTTCCAATTAATATATAAGGGATCACGGCCGGGCTAATCTTATGGCTTAAACCGATATTAAACCTATGACATATATGATGAAGTCACACAAATAATTATGTTGTTGGACATTTGGGTTTTAATCGGATTAGGTTCTTGTGAGTCAAGTGACATTTCGGTAGGAAAGCATAAGCAGATTCTTCCACTCTTGTTTCCTACGACCACCTTATCGGCGACTTCTAGACACCACTTTTAATTTTGTTGAAATATCAAATAGTATAATACTGTGACTCTGTGAGTGATTATGTACTAATATTGATGAGGTTTTTTCAAGAGCTTTCAGGAGATTTTAAGCTTGATTGGAGGTTATAGTCGTGACTTTGATCGTTTGTAGAGTGTATGACTGACGTTACTAACTGAATCTTCTTTCAGTGACCGAGAATGGCATTAACAAGTCTGGGGAGATAATTATCTTGTCGTCTGTAAGATAAGATGACCACTTACTTCCATCTTTCGTGTTTGAGATGTGCAAAARGAGTGGAGTGTTAAACGATTAGTTCTCGAATCCCACGTTGAAGTTCTGGTAAACCATCAATACAACTTTGCGTATATACAACAAAGCCTTTTGCCTTGCTTAGTTAAACTTAGTGCTAAACATTTGCGATTGTTGCTCACCTAGGATGGAAGTAGCAGCGAACCTATAAACCTACCCG